TGCCCCTTAGCGTGTACCTGTAGAACCAGTAACGTTTATTAGGCTTCCTATCTCTCAACCAGTCAGTCACCTCCGGTCAACAGCAGGAGTTGGTGATGTTGAATGCCCAAGTTATGATGTTTCAAGATGTTGCTTTGGATTGGAATTTGTATGGCAGATTATTAATAGAATGTAATCTGGATGCTGCTTGGTCTTTTTCATGGATTATGGAACTAGAAGAATGGGAATTCTTGCTAAAGGATTTGGGTCATGCAAGCCCCAGAATGGAAGCGTGTGGGCATGTCCTCACCACTTGGAACAATTAAGGAGGTGTGTCTCCCATGGTGATTTGACTATTAGAAGAATTCCCCTGGAGCCATCCAATTGAGTACACCACTCAAAGGCCACAAGTTTAAGGAAACAAAATTACTTCCTGGCCACTGCATCTGCAAAAGTGGAGGGACCCACAGTGTTCCCACAGCTACAAACGAGTTCTATCCATTGTTCAGACATCTTGTTGGTTAAGTCTGTACAATGTTTTTGAGGTCCACCCTGTCCTAAGCAATTCCTCGTGGGTTTTTTCCTCATCTTTAATTATTGTTTGGTCTCTGTTTCCTCTTTTATCTCCAGACTTCCTTAGAGAGCAGTCTTGACTCTAATTATGGTCTGAACTCCACTGAAACTGATCTTGCTAGCACAGGAATTAGCAAAACCGAGTGGCTCTGCTTGGTCTTCTTCCTACTTGATTTGCTCTGTGGCCACTCCCTAATTTGCCTTCCTTCCCTAACTCATAAGGCTCTCTTTCATCTCTCCTCCCTCCGTGTCTGGCCATCTTTCTCAATCTCCCCCGCAAGTCCTTTCTCTTCCTTTGCCCACCCTTATATGCTGCTGTTCCCAAGGGCCTCATGATTTCTGGTTATATACACTTTCTAGGATTGAGTGCACCTGTTTCCAAGTTATAAAACCATGTATGTGCTGCTGAGCCCCAATCATTATGTCTTTAACCCTGGAATACTATCTGCAAATGCGCACTGTATTTTTGCTCCCCGTTATTGTATCAAGCACAGGTATTCACTGGTCTGGATTGTCAGACAGGTCCCCTAAATGTTCACCCTCCCCCATGGCTCTCCTGCTGTCCCTCCCCCCCGCCCCCCCAGCTATTGCAGCAGAACTGGAGCAGTCATCCACACGAGACACTCACTCCTCCTTCCCTCCACCACACTGTTCTCTCAAAGGCAAATCTAAGTTAATAATCTAGAGTTTGATTATGATGTGACGTCAAATGGCATGTCAACTTGATTTAAACCAAATAGTTCAAAGGTTTACTTTATAAGCTCATAAAGTACCAACCTTCACAGTATATTTGCGTTTATATAACACAGCTATACTGTCAACACTTGCTTTATTGTTTTAGAAGTTAGGGAAATATAAAGGAGGCACTTTTAAAATGAATTTAAAAAAGACGTTGTATCTTTTTAAAATTTTACAATAAAAATATTTCATAATAGTCTTTGTGCCACCATTACACTTCTTATGGACTTCTATTATAGTACTTAAAGTTTAATGCAACTTTTTCTTCAATGAGCAAAATGGAGACGATAACACCTACCTCATAGGGTTGCTCTGAGGATTAAATGAGTTGCATGGACTAGAGTAGTTTCTAGCACAGTCAGCGGTATACATGAATTTGCTGCCATTATCATTACCCTTGTTTGTCCCTCCCAGTTCCCTTTGGACTCCTTAAAAGCACAGAGAGAAAGCTTTTTATTATTTTGTGTGCAGCAGCAAGTTGTAGTCCTTGATATATAAAAAAAATGCTCAGCAAATGTTTGAATGAATGTTGAATTGAACTTCAAAATTGTTTCTCCATGTAGTCTTAGAAAACATACCTGTTGATAAAAGGAAACCGATCTTGTAATTGTCAACCTCAAAGACTATCTTTTCTATCTTACCTGTGGGTTTATGACAATGGTGAGAAGGACAAATATTTTTCAGTGTTTGGACTGAAATATATATTTGTGACCATTATAATAGAAACATAGATATATTACTTAGAAGTTATAAAAATTCATGCTTTCAAGTCCAATTATAGTTTAAACGCACCAGGAGAATTATCTATTCAAAACAAATCTAGTAAATCTTTTGTAGACTGAAGAATCCTATGGTAAAGTGAATAATAGCACCTAAAATATTAATTTCAGGAATTCAGATTTTTTATTTCAGGGTTTTCCTATAGTGAAGAACATTTATAGTTGTTCTACATAGTATTTGGTAAGTAGTAGGCTTTAGATTAGAAGAGGTTAAATCATACTTTTACCTCATCCTTGCTTAAGTATTTGTTTACCCAGTGTGGTAGGGTTGGAAAGTACCTTAAGTTGCTGTCTCATCTAGATTTCTTTGAAGACAGAGAGAGAGAGAGAGAGAGAGAGAGAGAGAGAGAGAGAGAGAGAGAGAGTTTGTAGTGTTGAATTAGAAAAACTAATTTGTGTCATGTATTTTATTATTGATAAATATTGACATTTGTATTAGTAACTATGAAAGAAGGCATAGATATTAATTTTGGAAGATTACCAAAGTAAGCTTATATTAGTTCAGTTAAAAGCTGTAACTTTTATTAATTTTTTTAGATTTAGATCTAAGGCCTAAATATCTTTGTTTATTCCATCAACCTTATCCAACCTGCTGAATATAGCCCAGTGTTATCTAATGTTTATCATTTTGTGTAGGAAGATTGAGAACATATCCTTTTGGTTCTGAGTAAATGTATTTTAGTGAGTCCCTTGCCTCTCTGAACATGATTGGTTATAAAAAGTTACTGTTTAACCAAACAGATGTCTATAATCCAAGTAAGCAGATACCCCACAATATATTTATCTAGCCTACTTGGTGGTCAAGAATACAGAAATAGTGAACATGGAAACCTGTTTTCTTTTACTGTTCGTAAAGAATTGGTTTTGGTCTTGATTAGAATATACCTATATTCTTGAATCTTTAAGTAGTATTTTAAGCTTAAGAATTACTCATGAGGAATAGTGGATCATTAATTTGAGACTTTTATTTAAACAAGAAAATATTTAATTACCATAAAGAATTATATATATGTATGTTTTTTTCAAATTGTTATGAATAGCTATGTTCAAGGTTTAATTTGGCATGTTTACTCCTCATAAAACTCATAGTGTCTCTAAGATTTTACTTAGGGCATTCTGGAGATGCTATGTTTGTTACAATTAGATTGATACAATCAGACATTTATAAGTTGTCATGTAAAGTTTCATTTATAACTTTTTAGAACTCTGCATTTTAAAAATGAAAATTACACAGTCAAGTTTTGATTTTCACAGAAATAGTAACAGGTAATGTAAATAATTAAAGCAGTGACCCCAGATTTTCTTGATAGCATTATTATAACCTATTCAACAAATATTTATTGAGTTCTTATAGCAGAGTGCAGACCCTATAATTGGCTCACATTCCTACCATTGTGGTCCCTGAGATGTAATGGGGTGGGAGAGAGCTTTCCGTGTGGGTAGCCTGGGATGGCGCTGTGAAGAGCACCGTGTTGCGCCCCTGCCCTGAGGATGGAGACTAGGTTGAGGGTGGGGGTGGGTGGCTGGTGGTGGTAAAGAAGGCATAAGTGAAGAAGTGATACAAATATTTTGTGATACATTGCACAGATGCCTCCCAGTTACCTGCAAAATCTTGGGTACCCTGAGCCCTGCCCCACTGTCCCATGGGTCCAGGCACATGGGGAAGGGAAGAAAGCAGAGGAGATGGTGGAGCTATGGGAGAGGGCTTGGCCCCTTTCTTGGTCTTTAAGCCTTTTCTGAGGTTCGCTTAGCATGTATAGACTAGAGACTGACAACTGGTGATCAGAGTCAGCCCACAGGTATGTTTTATTTGGTTTCAGAGTATTTAAAATCTTTTTTTTTAACTTGTTGTAGGTGTATATATATATATATATATATATATTTTTTTTTTTTTTTTTTTGAGACAGAGTCTTACTCTGTTGCCTGGGCTTGAGTGACGTGGCATCAACCTAGCTCGCATCAACCTAGCTCACAGCAACCTCAAACTTCTGGGCTTAAGCAGTCCTCCTACCTCAGCCTCCCAAGTAGCTGGGATCACAGGCGTGTGCCACAACGCTCAGCTAATTTTTTCTATTTTTAGTAGGGACAGGGTCTTGCTTTTGCCTCAAGTGATCCTCCCGCCTCGGCCTCCCATAGTATTGGGCTTACAGGCATGAGCTACTGTGCCTGGCCTTTAAAATCTTAAAGTAGTTGACATTTTAAAAATAGATTTCACATGAAAATCCAGATGGAAGGTCAGCTGCATTCAGTTGGCTTTCCTGCAAGGTGACCAATTAGCTAGAGCTAAGGAGCATCTGCCTTTATGTATGTCACCTGTCTGACCCTTGTTTGGGTTTGTTGCCCCTGTGATATACCTTGGCTGACTCTGGTTTTTGCATACTTTGAGGGTTTGATGAGCCTCTAACCTTCACTCCTGCCTCCTGCTGTTTCCCAGTCTAAAAATCAGCATTGACAGCAGATACCAGCCTATAAAAACAGAAAAAAAATTGGAAGTGTGTTCATCATGAATCTGATATTTACAGATTTTTTTTTCCACTGTTTTAAAGTAAGTTTACCATGTTCATGGAAAGTGGTTACATTTTCCATTTTCTCTTACCTCCCTTTATTTATTGCTGGGACAAGCAGTGTTTGTTTTCATTTCATTGCAGAGTGACCAGGAGACAAACGTATTTTAAGCAAAATACCTCTATCATAAATAAAGTTTTCTGAAATTTTCATACAGTCTAGACAGAAAATTTTCTGAAGTGGATTGAATTCATAAACAGCATTTTGAGAATCAGATACATGTTTTTATTTTAAGCTATATTATTTTGTTTTCATTTATGTTCAATTTGCACTAAGTGTGAAAAGCAGTTTTATGTGTACGGGTTTACTATATTGTATAAGAATTATAAAATATTTTTCTTCTCTTTTCTCACAAAATTCTGCCAGCGAGTTGAAAATGGTGACTTCAACTGGATTGTTCCAGGAAAATTTTTAGCATTTAGTGGACCACATCCTAAAAGCAAAATTGAAAATGGTAGGTTTTTCTTTCCTTTATCATTCAAAAATTTATTTTAGTTCATCTTCTTTAATTTCTTAATTTCCTCAGATAATCCTTTCCTTTGATAATATTCTCCAAAGTATTAACAATTAAAAAAGTAGTAACTAGTGTGTTAAATATTATACGTCCAGTAGGTGGAGCTGTAATCACTGTTTTAAAACTAAGACATTTTTAGGTTGCCTTAAATAGTATGTTGAAACCAATAAGCAGATTGCTAGAATTCTATCAGTGGTTCTTAGATTTATTGGCAGTAGGAGTCCCACATATCAAGGTATTCTTTGGGGAATACCATATTGAGTAACGATGGTAGCAGTAAGTGTCATTTATTGAGTACTTATTAAGTGCTAGTTACTACGTAATCATAGCATTATTTCGTTTAATGCTCACACAACTCTATGAGATGTAGATATTATTGTCTCCATTTTTACAGAGGAATGAATTGAGGCTTTATTAGTAGGGAATTTGTCCAAGATCATAAAGTTAAGGCCGAACTTTTACTCAACCCAGAACTGGGCTCCTAAACATTGCTGCTGCACCTGATATTTTTAGTTCTGTTGTGACAACTAGGAACAGTTTTCTAGCTGATAGTAATTAAATTACTTATTTGCAATATATGGATAGCCATGGGCATACATATTCAGGAAAAAAAAATAAAAGCAAGACAAAAAATAAACCTGTTAAATAAAATATGATCAGCTATGCAAGGTTTTGCATTAATACTTATTTTCTACTTACACATTTTTTTCCCATCTGCTAACATTCCCTAGAAGAAAAGTAATGATACACATGAAAGATTTAAGAATAATTTATGGAAGTACATAAAATTTAAAAAATATTATTCATGAACACAATACTCCTGTTTTGCTCTCTCTGATCACAGAGGTGGAACACCAGTGTTCTGAGGGAACCTAATTTGAACCCCCTGGTCGAGGTTTATTCTTCTTTTATCATCATCATCATCATCATCATCACCACCAGTTATTTCTTCTGAAATGTAGTTTCATTGTGTATTGTTATTCATGCATTTAGATTTTATAATTTGTTTGAGTTTCCACAAACATGCTTATCATTTCATACCTGTGACATATCTAACAGGGAACTCTGCTTGAATCATGGTTTTTCTTTGTGGATGGGCAATCCAGGTCTAGAGAGTTAACAGGAGACCTCTATGGTGAAGCCAGACTTAGATCATCTTATTATAAGAAAAAAAATCTTTTTTACTCTGGACATTGATTAATTAACCTTTGTCATGTTGGGTTTTGGGGAATAATATGCTGCGAACCCAAGGGAACTGCTTTCTGACAGTTGATCTTTGAGATAAGATTGATTAAACCTGCTTTCTGTGCAAAATTATCAGACTCAGTCCTAGGAAATCTTAGTAGGGGCATTGTGTCAGTGGTGGCTTTATTGTTGGGTATTTGTTTGGCAAAGTTGAAAGAAATTCGCTATTTGGGATTCATGTATTTGACCAAGTTTTCCTCAAATGGAAGTTGAGAAGTAAAATTTAAAAAGTCATTTAAAATGTTTTTATATAGGTAATATGTATGTATTCATAAAAAGAAAAGAAAATGCAGATGAACTGCTAAAAATCATAAAAGTGACCTATAATTCTACCCAAGTTTACTAGTTTTATTAGTTGGTGGTAGGTGATTCTAACTTCTTCCATTGGCCTTTCTGTATTTATTTGTATACATTTTAACTCTCGATGTATATACACATTTTATATGTGTATGTATACACCCATTAGAAATTTTTTTTAATAAAAATGAGGTCATAATTGCTGTCTTATAGCCAGCTTTTTTCTCTTAACATTTCACAGACTTCTTTCCATGGCAGTAAATGTAGATCCACATTATTATTTTCGATGACTGCATTGTATATTGTTTAACCATATGATTGTGCCATATTTTGTTAATTTATTTTTGAATGAGACCTAAATTGTTTAGTTTTTCAGTTTTTTAAAAACTGTTGTGGTTGGCAAACATGTTCATACATCTTTTTAAAGCTCTAGTTTCTTTTCTAAATTTTTAGAAGTAGAATGAGTAGTTAAAAGATATGCATATTTTCTGTAATCATTCCTAATTGTCAAAAATCTTAAAAAAATTTTTTGGTCCTATATTGTAATATGGGGAAAAACTTAGAGCCAACATTTATTTACCTGCCAGGAGTGGTGCTAAGCCTCTTGTACACACATCATCTGTTTAATAACCAGAACCATCCTCTGGAGGAGGTGGTATTTATTTTATGGAAGAGAAGATGGAGGCTTAAAGGAGTTACCTAACTTGCCCAAGTTCATACAGCTAATAAGTGGCAGTGTATGGATTCAAGCATAGGGTTTATTTGATTCCAAATTCTGTGTTCTTTTTAATTTTATTATAGAGGACATGACATACATGCTCTGTAGAAAATTTAAGTAGTAGAGAATAAAACTCTTTAAAAAATTATATAATCAAGAAATAACAACTGTTAAGATATTGCTCTCTTTTTTTCTATGCAGATATTGTGCCCTCTCATATTGAGAAAAAAGGTCTGAAAGTGCTACTGCCTAATATTTGTCTGCTTTTGTGATGTCTAGAATAATTTCATTTAAGGCTGCCATTGATAAAATATTGATGTTTTACTGGAATCCTTAAGACCTGATAATCATTGGAAGCTTCATTTTTTTTTGTAAAGGACTTTGTAAATATTTTTGAACTTAAGAAAATAATTTTGTGATGGATGGAATTAATAAATTTGATCCAATTACAGTGAGATCTTGGTCTTGGTATTTTTTTTTTTTTAACTGAGTTGAGAAGCCGTGTGTTTTCCTGAGGAGGCCAAAAGTCATTTTAGGGGTTTGTTAGTAGAAAAGCTGAGATTTTAAAGGGATTAACAATCAATTAGCTGTTGCTAGGAGGTATCAAAAGGAAGCCCTAACATCTTGGGATTTGGGCAGGATGCATTAGAAGAGTCTTAAGTATGTGTTGTGTCAACAGAAAACAACCATCAGTTTCTTTCAGCCATCTTGATTCACATTGTTTTCATAGTGGTGAGACGAGCCCAGCTTTTTTTGTTAAATAATTTTGAATTGATAAATGAATGATAGCAGAATGAAACATGTTTTGGATTTCAAATTTTCTGAAAAAAAATCTCTCTTAAGGGGCAGTATCACCTAATTTTATTTAAACACATGCACCAAACATACATATACAGAGAAAGATAGCTTGAGACTGAGAACCCCAACAATTTGAAACGGCAGCCTGCTCATTTAAATGAGAGAAGCCTCTGTAAAGAGCCCAGGCAGGAAGAAGTCTGGCTGCATCCCTTGCTGGCTGTGTGAACTTCAGTGAGCTCCACAACTTCTCTGAGCATGAGTTTTCTTGTATTAATATATCACAATGGAGGAAATATAATGGACATTGCAGGTATCTAGTGAGGATTAGAAATATTGTATGGACTGCTGTGCACAGTATCGGGCACATAATTCAATAATAGGTGCTTATTAGATAGCAGATACTATGAGTATATTTTTATTATGAACAAACCTAATTAACATTTTGTCTCTCTACATTTGCCTGCTCAATTTGAAGTTTTTATTTTTAATAATGGATGAGTGGACTAGTTACTTGACTCTGCTGTTCTTTGGTTTCTTAACTTTCAGATGAGGGCCTGGGAAGAGATGCATTTTAAAAGCTCTGAAATTCTGTTTCTTTGATCAGTTCAACTCCTGGGCTCTGCTTGTGCGTCTCTGATGCCAGGGCGCCATCTAGTGGCCAGATAGAGTAGGGGTCAGATGAACTCTATCAGCTCTGGGTAGGCTGGTGCACAGTGCTAAAACCGGTCTCCCACAAATAGCATCCAAATACATCGATAACACCTACAAACAGTACCTAGTTTCCATTTCTTAAAGTTATAACTCATTTGAAACAGATTCAAGGATTTTTATAAAACCTGTTCACTGACTCGAGGACGTACAGCTCCTAATGTTCATGTCACGTTCTCTTGTTCGGAGGCCTAACAAACAGAGACAAGTTGAGTCTTACTTGAAATCAGCCCCAGCCCAGGTGTTAGAGTCTGACCTCAGGGTTCAAATGCTGGCTCTACCTCTCAATAGCTGTGTGTGCATGGCCAGTTCACTGTCCAGCCATCAGTAATTGAATAATTGCAGGGTTTACGGAGATAATCCACTTAGCATAGTGCCTAGCACATAGTAAGTGCTTGATAGATGTTAGGTGCAATCATTGTCATTATTGTTATTATTTTCAATGTTCTTTGGCATAATTGGACAATTCTGTTCAGCATTCCTTTCTTAAAAGCTGTCCATCATTTCTCTTAATAGTCTGTTTAGGTATATTAGCTATCCTGCCATTTACTCCTGATGGAAATCCATGTATCAAAAGAGAGATTCTTACAGCCTTGGTTTTGGGGGGAGGGGATAGACACTAAACCAACCATTAGCACACTGGGTGACAGGTGCCATCATCTCCATGGTGTGCTGGGAACACAGAGGCAGATGCTCTCTGCCTGCCACACCTAGAGAAGGCTTCCCAAGTGTGTTTGTGAGCCCTTCTTTCCATTTCTCACATGATAGAAAAACTATTATTTCCTCATGTGAACCACAGTCCTTTTCCCCTTTAGGCTATATATCTGTTGCTGGGAAATAATTCGAGCAAATAAACCAACTAAGTAAATAAACTTGATTTTTGCAAGTAGAAAGCATGTGTTTTCTCTACATGTGTGTACAAGTTACTCTTTCTGCACAGAAGATTTTAAATAAGCTCTGTATTATCTGTTTGCTCAAAAGCAACATGACCTGTGAAAATCATGTATGTGGATTAGTTAGGCCTGCCTTCCAGTACTTTCTCTATCCCTTGTATGACTTTGGCCAAGTATCCCAGTTGGGGCTCTGGTTGCAGGCAGAAGAAACAACTCTGGTAAACTAAACCAAAAAGCCATTTACTGGAATATGTTGGATAGCTCACAGACTTCAAGAGAAGTCTGGGAATGAGGCTTAGAAAATAAGCAAGGTAAAAGGGAGAGAGTATGTCAGCAAGAATATGGGCCCCACATTAGGTATTTCAAACAGAAGGAATTTAATACAAGGAATTTGTTACTAAGAAGACTAAAGTTTAAAAAGGCAACCCTGAAGAAGCTAGAGTATTATGGAGAAAACAGCTAGTACCTTTAAGGCTGGGGGGACAAAAGGGACAAAAGTGGAGTTCCTGAAACCTGAGGGCTCTGAGGAGGAGCCAGATAGCTGGTGCACTGACCACTGAGGGGAATGCTGCACAGCTAGTGTTTAGACTTGGGGGCTGAGGAGTGGAGACCGTGCCCTTACCTTAGAGGCCAATAAACTGTGAACTAAGTGCAGCTGGCTGGGGCCAGGAGTGCCAAACTCAGCTGGGAGCTCTGGCTGCTCCAATCTTCTGCTGCTAAAGTGATGCTGCTGGGAGAATAGGAAGAATTTCTTCTCCCTCCTCCAGTTGCCCTTTAGTCCCCGCCCCCTTGTCCCCATTTTTAGAACCAACAGGAAGCCAACTAGAAATGTAGTCCAGGAAATGTAATATGTATACAGACCCCACCCCCAGCGTCACAGAGCAGGGTATAAGAGGGTTGGCTTGGAGCTGAGAGGAAATAGGAAATGACTAGCATAACAGGAGCCAAGGCAACAGGAACTACAGCCAAGGGCATGGGGCAGAAACTGCCTGGTTCGCTTTCCTAGCTGCTGCTGATGCCATGCTTGGAGCCCACCTTCATGAATGGATTCTGAGTAAGATCGGTTCACTCACCTGGCATACCATGAATCAGTGAACCCTGAATGGGTTACAGATACGGCAAACCACTATGCTGATGCATTAACCCTCTTAACCCCTGAAGCTGCCAGGCAAGGCCTACGGTGGCCAAAGCCCCCACTGGTCACCTTGGCTGATTGGCCCAGGCTAGGTCTATAACCCAGTTGATTCTGTCACTCCCAGGAATACTCACTTGATGGTGGAGCCACTTAAAGATAGAACAGTGTTAGAGACTGAGCATGTTTTTCCACAAAAAAGAGAAACATGCACAAAAGTTACTCTTTTTGGTTTTTTAATTAAAAATTATTTTTAATTGACAAATAAAAATTATATATATTGATGGTGTACATGATGTTTTGAAATATGTATGTATTGTAGAATGGCTAAGTTGAGTTTTACATATGCATCACATCACATACTTATCATTTTTTGTGTGTGGTAAGAACACTTAAAATCTACTTTCTAAGTGACTTTCAAGTATACCATACATTGTTATTAACTATAGTCACTACGTTGATCTCTTAGACTTACTCCTCCCGTCTAACTGAAATTTTGTATTCTTTGATCAACATCTTTCCAACAACCCTCTTTTAGTTTCTTTTTTTTATTTTTTAGTTTCTTAATCTGTTAAATGGGGTTAGCCATTCTTCATTTAACAGGTTGCTTTGAGAATTATAATAGAAGAAAAATTATATGCAATTGTGCCTTGTACATAGTAGGTGCTTAATAATCATTAATCTCTGTTGTGGGGGGTTATACTATACATTAAACTAACATATGTCAAAAAAGTTTTAACTAGAGTTATTAAGAAAAAGTACTTGTCAAGTGGCAAGTAATACTCCATGGGGAGTGAAGTCACCAGGAATCATTGGAGATCTCCTACTACTTTAAGAATGCATTTGTTTTGGGTGTAGAAAGGACTGTGCTTCCAGGATTTGAATCCTAGGATGTTGAGGTTTCCAACTTCAATGAGCTATTTCCAATACTTATGGAAGTTTTTTTTTAAACCTCCGGTGGGGTTTACAGTTATACAGACTGCTGCTTTCACCAGCTTGCTGTGACCTTTTACTTTTTCATGAAACATGCTTTCCTCCTGAGCTCTGTTGAGACTTACACACTTTATTGTTGAGGGTTTTGCGTTTCTGGTTATGGAAGATGAAATGCATGCCTTTCGCTGACTGCTCCTTCCTTCCTTTAGGTTATCCTCTTCACGCCCCTGAAGCCTACTTCCCTTATTTCAAAAAGCATAACGTGACTGCAATCGTGAGGCTGAACAAAAAGATTTACGAGGCAAAGCGCTTCACAGATGCTGGCTTTGAGCACTATGACCTCTTCTTCATAGACGGCAGCACACCCAGCGACAACATCGTGCGAAGGTTCCTGAACATCTGTGAGAACACGGAAGGGGCGATCGCGGTTCACTGCAAAGGTGCGTGCCAGGGCCCAGTGGTAGCTGTGCTTGTGGGAGGGGGTGAACCCAGAAAACAGCAAATAACATAAAACAAAACCAGTTAGTGCCTTAGAAAATAAGGACGTTTTTTATTTCAGAAAACTGGACTGGAACACAAACCCATTTTAATAACTCCTTCCTGGTCAGGCTTGCTTGGGTGTGGACCATTGGTGGTGGTGTGGCTTTCTTGATGAGAGACTTTTTCTGACCTTACTAACTTGGCATGCACGTGCTCATGGACACCATGTGCCACGATAAGGGGAAAACAGAAGCAGCATCCTTGGGTTGGCAGGAACACCTTTAAATAGGTACAATTGTCAAGAGCATGGGTTGTCAGTTCCCTGTTCTCTGTTTCTTTCAGAATCCCTCATCTGTTTGCCATCCCCTTGCACCTAGGTGCTTCTGCTTTATGAGCCAGCTATCGGGACCCCCATTTCCCTTTCTGCCCTCACCTGCCCTCCCCATCTTCTGCCTGCCCTCCCCATCTTCTGCCTCCTGGAGCAGAGTGTCTTCCTTTCCTGTTGCTAGGGGCAACGGCTTACTTGCTGCTGGTGTGGTCCTGCTTTTTGGGAAGAACTGAAAGACTTGGTTATGCAAATTAACCTCTGGTTTCTGGGGTGCGTGCTTCGGGGCAGGAGTAGTTCAGAGTATAAGAAGGTGCAGGATTGCCAGATGTAGCAAATACAAATATGGGATGCCTAGTTAAATTTCAATGTTAGGTAAATAAGGAATACTTTTTAAAGTATAACGTATGTCCCAAATACTGCAGGGAACATACACTCTACTTTATCTGGCAGCCCTGCGTCAGCTAATTAGAAAATATGAAATGGCATTTGCTCTAGGCTTAGTTGTTAGATTCTGAGGAGCCTCAAATTCCATTCCATTCCCGATCTTTCAGTAGGGTGGAAGTTATTTTACTGGAATCTTTGAATTCAGTGATTAAGAAATCACCTTGGCCACCCTTAGGATGGATGGAGCCTCGAGCTCCTCAGGCGCAGCTTTCCAGAGCGCCGCTGGGTGGCGCCGTGGTCGTGGGTTTGTGTCTGAGAACCGGTTTCCGTCCTGTGTTAGGCTGGCGGTCTGTCTCGCAGGCGTTGGGGCTGGCGCTGCTCTTTTCCCGTGCCTGGTGCTGCTCCCGCTGACTTACTCCGGCGCGTGTGGCTTTGGTTCTGACAGAAATTTTAAAGATGCCGTTTTGTAGGCCCTTGTTTCTATGTTTAAGGTTTGAGCAGGTGGAGGTAGTTTGCTGAACGCGGGAGCAGGGATGGGAAGCTGCGGTTCCCCGGAGACCGGGGAGACGCTAATGAGCGGCCCGCGATTAGATGAGGGCTCCTGTGTCAGGCTTGGTCCACTGGCTCTTCCCTCGCCCCTCCGCGATTCCGAGCCGGGCGGGGCCCTGGCTTTGGGGACATCCTCTCTCTGGTGTGTGTTGGGGGGGGGGGGTCTGTCAGGCAGGTGACTCTTGTTCATGCGTTTGTAGGTGCAGCTTTCAGGCCAGGGTGGGGTGGCAGTGAGTTGGCTTGTCCCGGGCGTGATTCATTTACACCCTAAGTTCGCCTTTCCATTTCATGTTAAAGATTGCCCAGGCATGAGGGAAAAGCCTGCATTTCACATATTTTAACCATCAGAACTTGAGAGCTAATGGGAATATGGCAGCTACCAAAGTTTAGTAGGAGACAGTCGTATCTTCTCTTTTGGAGTTTAGTTTCGTGTCATAAAAAGCAGCATTTTACCTGAGATTGATTTGGTTTTGTTTCCTAGTCAATAAATGTTATGACTACCAGGTCATATAGTTTATCCATGGATTAACCATCCGTATCTTGGATTGGCAAAGGGCAAAGAAATGCAAAGATGTCATTAAAACTCAGCACCTGGCCGGGCGCTGTGGCTCACGCCTGTAATCCTAGCTCTTGGGAGGCCGAGGCGGGCGGATTGCTCAAGGTCAGGAGTTCAAAACCAGCCTGAGCAAGAGCAGAAAGGAATTAATTGGCCAACTGATATATATATATATAAAAAAAATTAGCAGGATGGTGCACAAATGTAGTCTCAGATACTGAGGAGGCTGAGGCAGGAGGATCACTTGAGCCCAGGAGTTTGAGGCTGCAGTGAGCTATGATGATGTCACTGCACTGTAGCCTAGGCAACAAAGTGAGACTCTGTCTCAAAAAAAAAAAAAAAAAAAAAAAAAAAATTCAGCACCTTTCTCGGTTGTATTCCTCTCCTTAGAGACTCTGTGAAAATAAAATTCTCTAGTGTTAAACATTCTTGTTATAGATATTCTCTGTATATTCTTGACCTGTGAATGTTTATCTTTTAAGAAATATATATGCATATATATATTTATTTTATATTGTAGAGGTTTTTAAATCTTTATTTGAAATCAGAACCTTTTTAAAAATTAATTAATTTATTTTTTTATTTTAGTGTATTATGGGAGTACAAGTGTTAAGGTTACTTATATTTCCCATGCCCTCCTCCCCCCTTGAGTAAGAGCTTCAAGCATGTCCATCCCCCAAACGTTGCACATCTTACTCATTGTGGTTGTATATACCCATCCCCTCCTCGCCCCTCCCACTTTCCCACCCTCCCGACACCCGATAAATGTTACTCCTATATGTCCACTTAGGTGTTGATCCGTTAATACGGATTAGTATTAGTAGAATGGGTTCCAGCTGTATCCAGGAATATACAAGAGGTGCTATAACACCATTGTTTCTTAAAGCTGAGTAGTATTTCATGGTATACATATACCACATTTTATTAATCCACTCATGAATTAGATGGGCACTTGGGTTGTTTCTGTAGCTTTGCAATTGTGAATTGTGCTGCTATAAACATTCGAGTGCAGGTATCTCTTTCATAAAGTGACTTTTGATCTTTTGGGTAGATGCCCAGTAATGGAATTGCTGGATCAAATGGTAGATCTACTTGTATCGCTTTGAGGTATCTCCATATTGCTTTACACAGAGGTTGAACTATTTTGCAGTCCCACCAGCAGTGTAGGAGTGTTCCTCTCTCTCCGCATCCATGCCAGCATTTATTGTTTGGGGACTTTGATAAAGGCCATTCTCACTGGAGTTAAGTGATATCTCATTGTGGTTTTGATTTGCATTTCCCTAATGATAAAATCAGAACCTTTAACAATGAGGTCAGTTCTTGCATAGGAAGGTCACATTTACATATGGCGACATCTTGTTGAGAGTGTTATTTCATTTGTTTCCACTTGTACACACATGTAGTGTTCTTTTATAAGGATTATACCTTTGGTTTAATTAGAGTTGTATTGCTTTTCATAGCATACTTATCTGCTATAGGCCTGCTAATTATTTTGACATCTGCCCTAATTAAGTCAGTTTAATTTTCTGGGAATTCAAGCAGCACTCAGCATTTTAATTGAACTAAAAAGAGGAAGGAGAGAGAATCTTATCCTATGTCAAATGAACTTGGGTAGCTGCTGAAAAGAGAATGAATATGTCATGCCTCAACATAAGGTATTTTATAAAGAGATAAACTAGAAATGAATTTTCTGGGAATGTGTGAAACCTGACAACGATTCAATACCTGCATTTCACTTTGTGGTTGATAAAAGAGATAGCTGTGAATTCCTGAAATTTTCTGCCACAAATAATAGTCTAAAACACAGCAACATTGTGATATTCCAGGATGTGATTATTGATGTTCTATAGGGATTTCAGAAAATGCCTGGAACTGTAAAGCAATTGGTGTTTGACTTGGTATAAATAGAACACTTTTCAACATCTTGTCATGCTGTGCCAGGGAGCCCTTTAATTACAAATGCTTTAAAAATTTTGTTAAAGTTTTTATAGAAACTTAGTGAAATGTTCCTATTCTGTTCAATTGTGGTAAGAGCTCCTAACTATTGAATGCTAAGTACGTTCTTTTTATAGATCTAAATTATAGACTCTTTTTAAAAGGGGGAAGCAACTTTAGTTTCAGAGAAATTTGAAAATTTTCTGCACCTCATTTTTGGTTGTGAGTATAAGTAGGAGCCTGAGTGAGGGAGGCAGACAGCTCCGTGGACGAGGAGGGAGCAGTGAGGGACTGTCGTTTGCATTAAGAAGGCTGTCCTGTGTCCAGACACATACCCAAATCAGTGGCTTGAAGGAGGGACTCTGGAAACCAGCTGGGCCCTGGCTTCTCTTCCAGGACGTTCAGTTGTGTTTTATCTACGTGAGTTACCTATAGTCTTGTCGGGTATCTGGGGAATTAACATCTGTAGGAACTGGCAGAAGCAGAAAGGCCAATTACTCTTAACTCTGGCTATTAAAGGAAGAGTCCACTGAGACCGTAATTAAACCTCACCCTTTTCTAAAGAATGTAGATGTTTGATCTGGGGCAAAAGGTACGTCAGGTGAAAATAATACATATACACTCCCCTCTTCTAATAAAACAGTGTATATTGTATATATACTTCTTAAAAAGGAAGGGTTACCAGGAAGGAAATGTCAGGCATCTGTAGACATGAACTTGATTGTCATTTCATTTGCATTTTTGATATGTATTGTTAACCCAAGCAATATTGCCCCCAAGGAAGCAAAATTGTTTTTTGGGGGATGAAAACCCTTTTTTTTTTTTTTTTTCTGTATAAAGCACAGATTTACATCCACTACATAAACAGATATGCAGTATATCTGTGGCAGGAAAATTTTGTGGAGGACAATTAGGAAAAAATATATTTTAAGAGGCTCCCAAGGAAACAATAATGTAAAAGAGGTTGAGGGACATTGATTCAAAGATGTACCTTTTTCACATTTAAAAAGTTTTGAAATTAGGATGGCTCTTAAAATTGATAGCATGTCATAGTTTAATTTCTTACTTAGTAGAACTTAAATAGTGGTATATGTTACACCATTAGACAACATGATGGTGTCTTCCATTGGCAGAAATATTGTATGTTTTAAAGTACTGGGGAGATCAGAGAAGATTCCCTTTATTATTTGACCAAAGAAAGCTGAAAAAAAGAACCCCTCAAAAGTAGAAGATTCTTAAACATATCAAAAATGAAGTCATCATATTTCCTTTTCTTTTAAATACATATATATTTTAAAAATAATAAAAAATATTTTTTTTACATTTTTAAATTTTTTCCCTCTATTTCCTCTTCTAACAAAATGTTTTAATGGATGAAATTGGCATTGTACCAGATCCCTAGGTCAGAAATGTGAGTCGTCTTTAACTTTTCCTGTGATCCAGTCCTAATGGATTTCGAATGCAGCTCTTTCTCCTTATTACTGCAGCCTACCTTCATCCCACCCTCCTTTCCTACCCTCCTCCCAGCTCCTTTCAGCCACCTTTGCTCTCCTGCCCTTGCTTCCATTTCTCGTCTCTGGCCTTTCCTATACAGCTGTTATGCTGCTGCCAGACCCATTTGCATTCATCATGTCACTTCTTGCCTCCAAATCTATGACAGCTTCATTTTGTCCTTTCCACTGTTTGAAGAAAAATACAGATTTTTACAAGATAGTAGTTTATGTTTATTAGCTGTTGATAATGCCATTACACTTGAATCCAGTGTAATTTCTGGTTTGATTTCAGTGTTTTTGTGGGTGCATTTGTTGTACTTTGTATTTCTTATTCTGTTTCCCTCTCTTACAGCTGGTCTTGGAAGAACAGGGACATTGATAGCCTGTTATGTCATGAAACACTACAGGTTTACACATGCTGAAATAATTGCGTGGATCAGAATATGCCGGCCGGGCTCCATTATAGGACCCCAGCAGCACTTCCTGGAAGAGTAAGTCTGTTGTCTCCATTTAGCACATTACACCCTGTTCCTGGTCCTCTCTACTCCTGTTCTCTGGGTTGTGGACCGTGTCAAGCCTGTGGTTATAAAATGGCTGCATTGTTAGAGAAGTGTGTGCCTTGAATAGAATATTGTTGATTTGACAGCTAATGCATTCTAACTCTGTACCTTTTATATCTCTTAGATCAGGTGAGAGTGAGAAGAAAATCACAGAGCCATCTCTGCCTACCCTTTTTCTGTCATTTTCTATGTGTGATCTGGCTACAGTGCAATTTTCTTATGTCATCCCACTTGGCACTTTTCATTCTTTTCTTTTGTTTGCATGTCTAAAAGCAGAATGGAAAAAAAAACAAAAAAAAAAAGCACAACTAAGGTCAGTCAGTGATTTTGGTAAGATTGCTGCTCTCCTGACAACTAACTGAGCTGCTGATGCAGCTAGAAATGCACCCAAGAAGTTACCAGGGAAGGAAAAATAAGAGAACAGGCCCTGCCACTAACTAGCTTTTTGACCATTATTTAGAAGAATACTTATAAATTCATCCATTCACTCATTCATTCATTTACATATTCATTCATTACCTTTCTGTCTCATCTCCAGTCCATGATATGGAGAGATTTAACCCATAAGGACACAGTCCTTTCTGGTCCTTCTGCTTTCTCTTTAAGCTATTAGAACTTATTATCAATTCACTCATTAATAAAATTGGCACTAAGTTGATATAGGTTGAGCTCTCAGTTGTTATCAATTAGTGATATACTGAAACTTCAATGTTTTTCTTTTTAGCTGAGATGGCTCTATTATGATTAGAATTCTTTTCTATATAATTATTCCTTTCCAATTTGAATAATTTTAAGTTAGTAAGAAACAATGATCATGACTTTCATAGAAATTCATGTGAGATGCCCATAAAACAATTCTGTTATTTTAGAGCTTTATTCTCGATCAGATTCTTAGCCAGTGGTTTTCTCTATTTTGCATTTTGTATGTCGGTAGCATGGAGCTTTGTGTTGTGTACCTTCTAGATCCTTGTTTTACTAATTGCTTGCTAAAGTTGGATAAATGGCCTTCAGGTTAAAAAACAAACTACTTCTAAGCCTAGTTCTTTAAGCCATTTAATCAGCCTTTTAAAATTATTGCCTGGAAGAGTGTTCATTCAATAGTTATTCCTTGAATGTTCACGTTGTACCGGGCAATCTACTTACTAGGTGCAGCTGACAAGGCGAGGAGATACAGCAGAGAATACCAGCGGTCAAGGTCACTTAGTTTTCTCAGGGTGTCAGATACCACAACCCACCCACTTATGCCTGTGCATTCCTTCCTTCCTCCCTCTTGTGTCCCTTCTCTCTGCTGTATCTCAGAATAATACAGAGAAAATTAGAGTTATGAGGCAGAGGCACACTAGGTTGAAGAAAGGGTTTTTAATTTATAGATACTTAAGCTATAAAATTTAGAAAATTTCCTTAGGTGTGAGTCAATACCATAGTTTTCCAAGTAGTTGTCTTAGGTATAGGAATGACTTACTTGTATAACTACAGGAGTGAAATAAATCGTAATGCTTAGATTACAACCTTCCTGAAAACAGTTTTTTGTTTGGTTGTTTAGGCACTATACCTTTTATATTTTGCCATGTTTCTTATAGAGCTTGCATGGAAAAATTCGGTGTTGCTCATGGGCTTGCCCAGGCTTTATTAGATCACCTCCTTTATTAGAATGGTCTATGGCCCATTCTGCTTATGCCTCTGAATGGCACCAGAGCTATTAATAGTATTTTGCTTGATGTGTTGTTCCTTTGTTTTTTCCTCCTCTTTGCCCTCTCCTCTCCTGTTTTTCCCTTCCAAGCCTGCGTCTTGATGTACCCCATGGCAAAAGGCATGGCTTAGTGCATTGGTGACACTATGCATCCTACAGATATTTGTTGGGTGTGCTATGAAAAGTGTGAAGAAACCAAGGAGGGGATGACTGGTGGGGATGGGAGAGGTCTTTGCATTGGTGGTCAAGGAGGGCTTCTCTAAGGAGAACTGAGACCTAAAGGGCAAGAAGGAGCCAGTCCTGTCAAAAACCTGAATTGTGCCCCATGCAGGGGACATGTGAAGTCCTGAAATGGGAGCAAATTTACCATTTTAAAGCCCAGAAAGAAGATGAGTGTGGATGGAATATAGGCCAGGAATGGGTGGCTTGAGAGGTAGGCTCGGTGAATTTTTACAAGGCCAATATATCATGTAACCTTCCTTAGATAAAGAAATAGAACATTTCCAGCACCTGGAAGTCCCTCCTTTGTCTTCTTCCATTCAATGCCCAGTTCTTCCACCAAAGTAACCATTATTCTGACTTCTGACACTGTAGATGAGTTTGCTTGTTTTTGAACCTCATATAAATGGAACCATACAGTTTATATGTCCGGCTTCTTTTACCTCGCCTTATCTTTGCTGTTGTGTATAGAAACAGCTTATTCATTTTCATTGCTGTATAACATTTCATTGTTTGAATATGTGACATTTTAGTTCTGCTCTTGGTGCATATTTAGGTTGTGTCCAGTTTTGGCTGTTGCATATCTTTTGGTACACTTATCTGTTAGAGGTATACCTTGAGTAAAACAGTTGGCTATGTGTGCATTAAGCGTTAGCAGGTACAATTAAAAAGTTTTCCAAAGCAGGTACACCTGTGTATGTTGTCGTCAGAACCGGTTTATCAGTCTTTTAAGTTCAAGCCATTAGATTTTTTTGGTAATGATAATTTGCTTTGTAGTTTTAATTTGCTTTTTCCCTGATGACTAATGAGGTTGAATAGCTTTTCATTTATTTATTGGCCATTTGCATATTCTCTTTTATGAAGTATCTTTTCATGTTTCTTGCATATTTTTCTATCAGATTGTATTTTTATTGTTGATTTGTAGACATCTAAATATTCTGGATCTAAGTACAGTGTTCATTATATGTAATGCAAATACATTCTTTGCTCTTGTGGTTTGCATTTTCACTCTCTTAGTAGTGTCATTTTTTTGTTTTGAGACAGAGTCTCACTCTGTTGCTTCGGCTAGAGTGCTGTGGCATCAGCCTAGCTCACAGTAACCTCAAACTGTTGGGCTCAAGTGATCCTTCTGCTTCAGCCTTCTGAGTAGCTGGGACTACAGGCATGCGCCACCATGCCTAGCTAATTTTTTAAATTTTTTTGTTAGAGACGGGTTCTCACTTTTGCTCAGGCTGGTCTGGAACTCCTGAGCTCAAACGATCCTCCTGCCTTGTCCTCCCAGAGTGCTAGGATTATAGGCGTGAGCCACTGCACCTGGCCAGTAGTGTCTTTTTGAACAGAATTTTACAATTTCGCTGCAGTCCAATTTCATTAATTTTGCCCTTATGGGTAATGCTTTCTGTGTACTACCTAAGTGACTATCACTGTCAACTCCAAAGTATGAATGTATTATTTTATGTTACATTTAAGAAGCTTTTTTGATTTTTTTATTACATTTAGACCAATAATTCCTCAGGAATTGCTTTAAAAAATATATTGTGAGATAGGAGCCAAGGTTCTTTTTTTTTTTTCTCCCCATGTGGGTATCCAGTTGACACAGCAGAATTTATTGAAAAGACCATTTTGCATTGCTCTAAAGTGTCACCTTTATCATAAATCAAGTGTGTGTATATATGTGAGTTTGTTTCTAGACTCTGTATTCCATTCTATTGGTTAATTTGTGGGTTTTGACACCAGTATTTATTTCAATGTCATAATTGCAGTTCTAAACTAAGTCAATATCTAGGAGTTTAAATCCTTCAGCTTTAATTTTATTTAAGAAAATCTTTGTCTCTTTTTTTTTTTATCTATCTATCTATCTATCTATCTATTTATTCTGGGTAAAGATGTTGTATATTTCTACTTGAAGTTATTGGATGCATTATATTAATAAATGGTATAATCTTTTGGGTTTTATTTTCTGATTGTTTGAGGCTGGTATATAGAATTCTTTTCCTGCCCTGACAGTTATAGCCATCTTGCCTGGAAAGTTTATTTCACATGCTTTTCTCTAACCATTCTAAATGTAACCTCATACCTTCTCTGAGCTGCATGTTATGGCAAATATGGTTTTTCTTTTGCCCTTCTTATATTGCTCTTGCTAGTTGATAAAAGCCTATGTTTCTGTTACATGTAAACCATTTAGAAGAGAAGGACAGAGTTTATTCCTGGTCCACCTTTCTTTCAACAATCATCCCTAAGTTCCTTTTAAATAGTTATTTTCCATCTTAACCTTTGCTTTTTTAATTGTCTGTAAGTTTCAAGTTTTTCTTAGTGGTCTTTAACGTACCTGACCCTGTTCTTATCACTCCTGTCTACCTTTGAGATAGTCTCAAAGGTGGCAGGGATCCCTCCCTTCCTCCCTCTCGCCCTTCCTCCTTTTCTTCCTTCCTTCCTTCTACAAATATTGGTTGAAAGCCACTATGTGTTAGGTAGCGTTCTAAGCACTTGAGAAGTTGCAGTAAAAGTGAAAAATGAATTTCTGACCCATGGAGCTCACATATGAGAAAGAAAGAGAGATAGAGAGAGAGAGAGAGAGAGAGAGAGAGAGAGAGAGAGAGAGAGAGAGGGAGGGAGGGAGAGAGGAGAGGAGGGAAAGGAGAGGAGAGGAGAGGAGAGGAGGGGAGGAGGAGAGGAGAAGGTATTAACAGAAATGAATAAATTTTATAGTTTCTCTGATGATGACAGGTACTATGCAGAAAAATAAAATAAAGCAGAGAAGAATAAGGGGTGGAGGAGAAGGCAGTTTTAAATATGTGGTGCTGAGGGGGCTCACTGAAAAGGCACTTGAGCAAAGATCTTTAGAAGTGAGAGCAAATCATGTGGGTAACTTAAAAAGTTTTTTCTGTTTGCTTTTATTTTTTCCTTTTTTTACTGACAAATAAAAATTGTATATTTATTGTATATGACATGATGTTCTGAAATATATATATGTATATATATAAATATATAGTGGAATGCCTAAATCAAGCTAATTAACATA